TGCTGTATGGAAAGTGAATTTGCTCTATAAATCTTAACCCCAATCACAATAAATTAAAAATAATAATAATAATAATAATGTATATAGGGTGTTTTGGTAAATTTCAAAAAAAAGAGAAAGGATCATGGAGATTCTCTAACTCAGGACATTTTAATCAGCAGGTCACGATTCATGTGAATCATGAAATCAATTTAGTGGTTGTGATCAGGATTTCTTTACAAATGAAACAAAACACAATCAAATAGAAAATATCAGAATAACACAGGCAGTAGATGCTATTTCTTGTAACTTTGGTTGTGTGTGTGTGTCTCCTGTGACTTGATATAAAATGTACTTCTTACTGTAGGGTATGATCAAAAAAGTATCACAACTCCCTCACATAACCCAGAGAACTGAGGTGGCATGCAGATCTTGAAAGATTGGTAGGATTCAGAGTTGGAGAAGGTGCTGGAGGGAATACAACTTGAGCCAAAGCACAGAGTGGACCAGCCAGCGGGACAGCATGTAGGTCAACTAGATAATGGCCTGGAAATGCTCTGAGAAGAGAGCGAGGCAATTATAAGGTTTAGGTAGCTAGCCTGAAGCTGGGTTTGAATTCACAGGGAGCCTGATGGGTTGATTGGATACTATGTGTTTACTTATCCAGAGAAGAGTCTTTAGGGTTTAGGACAGATATTTCATAACTTAACTCATGGAGGAGTTATGAGGGGTAATGAGCCCTTCCCTCCCAGTTTCCTTAATGCGTGAGGAAAGAGAGTTTTCACCCTTTTGCAACATGGATGTATATGTAAACCTGCAGGTTGTTGGGGACAGTAGGGTGACCAAATAAAGCTGCTTTCAACTGTGTCGTTCACTGTCTTCTAGTATTCATTAACCGGGAACATGCCAACAATGTCCTGCGGAGGATCAGGAGGGCAAATTCATTTCTAGAAGAGGTGAAGAAAGGAAACCTTGAAAGAGAGTGTATGGAAGAGACTTGCTCATATGAAGAGGCCCGAGAAGTCTTTGAAGATAACGTCAAAACGGTAAGGGTCATAAGACCAGGATACCAGTTCCACACTAGGCTAGGTTGATTGCAAATGCCCTGAATGGAGGATGCTCACTGGCCCTTTCTTATCCCCATCTAATTAATAGGGATACATCTATTTGAAAATGACAATATTCCATACCAGGCTCCCAACTGAAGTGCCCATGCTATTTTGTGGTCTCTGTAAGGAAGAAAGCACAGCACAGTGTGTGGGATTTCCTAGCTGGAAGATTGATAGAAGAGATTTAAGGAATAAGAGATACCTTGATTATTAGTTCTTTTACTGATTGCAAAGACATTCATCACTCTGTCCTCACAAATCTGTGAGATACATAAACTGTTTTATGGATAGGAAAAATGAGAGGAAGTTATATGCCAAAAATCAGTTAGAAGGTTTATAAGAACTTTTCTAAGTATTTTAAAATCAATTTTAAAACATGACTTTAAAAAAGTTATTCAAAATTCCATTAATTATTTTCACTTTTAAATGTTCCTTTAATACATATACATAGTTTATAAAATAGAACTAATTTAATGTATATGCAAGCTCATCCTCTGCCTTTTTCTTTACATCATTTTCCAAACACTCTTCATTACTTCTATATAGATACCACACTTACAATTTAATAAAGTTGAATTATATTTTATTATAATCCATTTACTATTCTCATATTTTGACCATTTAAATTATTTATAAATATTGCTATTATCTAAATGCACACATATATTTCTTCTGGATTATCTCCTAAGAATAGCTTCTCCAGAGAAGGATTACTGAATCAAAGACTATGAATAAGTTCTGGTTTCAGATAGGACAGAATAAGCATATTCCACCAGGCCTCCCCTACTAAATGCAACTATAAAACCTGAAACAGCTATGTAAGGATTCTAAAAAACAAACAACAACAGGTGTGTTAAGGAGGAAGACTAGAATTTAAAGTACCATGGTATTGGTAGTCAATTTACCGTTTTTCCCCTCCAGCCCTATTACCCAACCTGAATCTAGTTGACATTTATAGGGTACTCAACATGACAGTAGCAGAATAAACTTTCTTCCCAAATATCCACTGAACATTCACCAAGATAACCCATATTCTGAATCATAAGGCACACCTTAACAAATTTAAAAGATTGAAATCATATGAAGTATAGTATATGAATTAAACTGAAAATCAATAACAGGAAAATCTCCAAGTGCTTGAAAAGTAAACATACTTCTAAAATCTCTATGGGTCAAAGAAGTCTCAAGAGAAATTAGAAAATATTTTGAACAGAACAAAAATGAATATACACATATAAAATCTGTGAGATACAGCTAAAAGTCTCAAGTCAATGATCTAAGCTTCCATCTTTAGAAACTAGAAAAAGAAGAGCAAAATAAACCCAAAGGAAGAAAATAAAAAGAGCAGAAATTGATGACATTGAAAAGAGAAAATGAATAAAATGGAAACACGTCTGGTAAAATTAAAAGAGAGAGAGAGAGCACATCCAAATGAACAATATCAGAAATTAACAAGGGAATATTACTACAGATCCTGAAGACATTAAAAAGATAATAAGTGAATACTATGAACAGTTCTTTCTATATGGATGAAATAGACCAATACCTCAAAAACCACAAACTACCAAAGCACACCCAAGATGCAAAAAGGGCATAGGGGCAGCATCTAATCACCTCCAACTTTGCAAGGGGGAAGTGGGATCCAGAACAACATCGACAGCCCAAGGCTGATTCCTATGAGGCAAGGACAGACATGCCACCACCCTCCTACATTTTTACCAGTTTTGACACAAATTATCCCTCCCATAGCACTCCCTTGTCTGATGCATTCAATACTTTGTCTCAATGGCCACACAGAATCCACAGACAATACTCATGTTTGTGGGACTTATTAGGGAAATAACAGGTTACAATTCAAGATCAGAAACAACTCAGGATACAATTCTTTGATAAGGAAAGCTCCTCTCAGCCTTGCTGCAGGACTCTTGGCCCTGTAGCCTCTTGGCCTCTGCCCTGCTCAGACAAGTATAACAAAGGTTGTTAGCTCTGCAAATAGGTGGCCAGAGAGGCACTCTCCTCAAGCGTCCTGCCCAAAAGCTCTCAGCTTTCTCACTTCGTGGGCAGGGAAGCCCACCGCTCTTTCTTATGCTGGGTCCTGCTGCCATGGTTTCTCTACCATAGTTTCTCTGCCACTGCCTCTTGCCATCTCAGCTCAGGGAGCTCTGGTCCAAGGACACACTCTACTCCTGGCTCTTCTTTCCTGATGGTAGTGAGATCCCCCTTTCTGCCTCTGGGATGGCTCATTTAAGCCTAGAGAGATGGCAAAACTGACCAATTCCCATCTTAGGGTTTCATACACCTTATTTCCTTCACACAGGGTGCCATGTACCTTATTTACATTATTAATAAGCTATTCAATCCCCTTGGTGGGCCAAAAGCACCACACATTTGCACAGTCCCACCTAGTTATCCGGTGGAAGTCACAAAGATGGCTGTTGTTGTTGTTAGGTGCTGTCGAGTTGGCTCCGACTCATAGAATAGAACAAAATACTGCCTGGTCCTGCACCAGCCTCACAATCCTTGCTGTACTTGAACCCATCATTGCAGCCACTGTGTCAATCAGTCTCATCGAAGGTTTTCCCCTTTTTCATGACCCTCTACTTTAACAAGCATGAGATCTTTCTCCAGGGAATGGTCCCTTCTGACAACATGACCAAAGTAGGTGAGACAAAGTCTGGCCATTCTCACTTCCAAGGAGCATTCCAGCTGCACTACTTTCAGGACACATTTGTTCATGAATCTTCTGGCAGTCCATAGTATTCCAGTATTCTTAGCCAATACCGCAATTCAAAGGCATCAACTCTTTTTCAGTCTTCCCTATTCATTGTCCAGCTTTCACATGCATATGAGGCTATTGAAAATACCATGGCTTGGGTTAGGCAATCCTTAATCTTCAAAGTGACATCTTTGCTTCTTAACACTAAAGAGGTCTTTTGCAGCACATATACCCAGTGCAATGCATTGTCTAATGTCTAGACTGATGCTTCCATGGGTGTTGATTGTGGATCCAAGTAATATGAAATCTGTGACAACTTCAATCTTTTCTCCATTTATTGTGATCTTGCTTATTGGTCCAATTGTGAGGATTTTTTGTTTTTGCTTTGACAGTATCTTATTAAGTTAATCATTGTTGTTGTTAGATTCCATCAAGTCACTTCCAACTCTTAGTGGAACAAGAGTTGGAACTACAGAACAAAACATTGCCGCTTCCTGCACCATCCTCACAATCATTGCTATGTTTGAGCTCATTGTTGCAGCCATTGTGTCAATCCATCTCATTGAGGGTCTTCTTCTTTTTTGCTGACTTTCTACTTTACTAAGCATGATGTTCTGTTCCAGGGACAGGTCCCTCCTGATGTGTCTAATTTACCATACGACTCAGCAACCCAATTCCTGGGTATTTACCCTAAAGAAATAAAATTTCACTCACATAAAAACCTGTATGTAAATGGGTGGCACAAACAGCTTGCTCTTGCCTACTAACTGAAAGGTTGACAGTCAAATCCACCCAATAGCACCATAAAAGGAAAGCCTGGTGACCTGCTTCTGTAAGACTATGGCCAAGAAAATCCTGTGGAGCACAGTTCTACTCTGAAGCACATGGGGCTGCCATGAGTTGGCATCAACTTGACAGCAGCAGGTTTGGTTTTTGGCTTAAATGTCTACTATAACTCTGTTCGTAAGCATCAAAAGCTGGAAATAACACAAATGTCTTCTGTTGGGTGAGTGGAAGAAGAAACTATGGAATTTTGTTTATCAAATAAGAAGGAACAAAGTATTTATACATCAATAACTTGGATGAATTTCAAAGGCATTATGCTGAATGAAAGAAGTCAGTCTCTAAAGGTTACATAATGTATGATTCTATTTATATGACACTCTCAAGAACGCATCACTATAGTGATAGGGAACAGATCAGTGCTACCTGAAATTAGGAGTAGAAATTACCAAGGTTGCCAGGGCTGGGGGAGATAGCATGAGGAAATTTTGGAGGCTGATGGAACTGCTCTGTATCCTGATTGTAGTAATTGTTACATGAATCTATTAGTTGAACTATAAAATGTTAATTTTACTGTGTGATAATTTTTAAAATAACATTTAAAAAGGGAAAAAACATATTTTTGGACTATGAGCATTATTAGCATGATATGGGCCCCTAATGCCCTGTTTTAAACTAATTGTCAGTTAAAATTTTTTCCACTTACCTAATGATTATTCATCAAGCATCTGCTCCTTCATTGAACCTTTGATGCAGGCACCTTAACTAAAACCCATTCACTGATCAACTTGAGGGTAACAAAGACAGCAAACCATTTTTGATACAATTCATTTCTTGGTGATTAAACTTGAAAATAAAGTTTCAATATTCAACAAAAATAGTGCAACTAAGATAACTGAGGGAGCTCTGGTAGCATAATGCCTAAGGCACTTGACTGCTAACCAGAAGGCTGGAGGTTCAAACCCATCAGTCCCTTCTCAGAAGGAAGGTTGGGCAATCTACTTCCTTAGTGATACTGCCTAGGAAACCCAAGGAGGGGTCGCTATGAGTCAGGTCCTACTCAACAGCATATAACAACAACAGCAACAAGATGACTGAAGCCACATCTGTGTAGAAGCATATCTGAATAGTTTTCCTTTTTAGGTTTAATAATTCTGGAACAATTCATTCTAAAAAGTAAATTTGGTTTGGGAAAACATCTATTCAGGCTGAGTTACTAGGTTATAGTTTTTATTGGTGTAAAATGTCTGTTTTCCCTGATATATGTTTAAATCTATTTTCCCTTTTAGACTGAATTCTGGAATAAATACAAAGGTAAGATATGTTTTCTATTTTAATCTTAAGTGAGAAGGGTTCATTAGGGTATTAAATTGGGAGAATTTAATAATTTAATTAATTTAATTCAAGGTGAATTTTGAAAATAAGTTCTGAATTTCCTTTCTGCTTCTATTAAAATCTTAACTCATTTAAAACTTTCTCCTTTTGGGTGTTCCCATAACGGTTATTGTAAAGTGTTCATTTAATTCTAGCTTTGTTGTTTACTTAAATAAATATAGATTTAAGTCAGTTCACTCTTATTTGAGGATATCAAATTCCGTGATCATATTTAAAAATCAAAATGTATTATATAGAAGCAAAAACTAGAGTCTGAAGCATTGAATCACTTAATAAGGTAAACACTTTGATTAAATACTTACAGCATCTGACACAGTGATTAATTTTGACAACAGTTTTCATTTTGGAGCGTTATTTGAATCTCTCAGAAGGATAATCTGACCTATCTCTAGATGAGATTGTATAATTCCACCAAGAAATGTGATGTCCCATGTCTTTGTTTGTTGTTTTTTTTTCCATTTTACTCTCAAATTATTTGGAACAAAAATGCCTAACATCCTCTCTTGCCAAAGCCCAGCCCAAAAACAAATATCAAGTTTGGTCCTGGCACCTGGTCCCCACGATCACTAGTTTAGAATTCCTCACTTTGGTTGAAACTACACTTTAAACCATCTCAGCAAAAATTGGAAAACTCAATCCATGATCCACTTAGATAAGCAGAACATTGCCAAATACCCAAATGAAGGGCTTCACGTACACAGAGCCACAAAAAGTGGTGATAAAATGAAATCCAGATAGGAGAAATTGTGTATGGGGAAACAGGGAGCAATTTCAAGTTCATGAAAGTTATCTGCAAAAGTGTGCCAAGATCAACATAGCTAACTCATTTCCAGCAGGATGGAAATTGTCTGCAAACTCTGGTTTCCTAATACTTTCTTTGCAGATGGTGACCAGTGTGAAAGCAATCCTTGTCAGAATCAGGGCAACTGCAGAGATGGCCTTGGGGAATACACCTGCACTTGCGTGGAAGGATTCGAAGGCAAAAACTGTGAATTACGTAAGTTCTGTTTCTTACTGCATCTTAAGATCAAAATTACCAAAAGAATAAAAGGTAGAAAAGAGGGGGAAAAAAAACTAAAATGCCTAATGGAACAATCTGATGCTACGTTTTTCCTAATGTGTAGAGTCCCGTTAGTGCTCTATTAGGTGGTACCATTATGGCAATAGTAAAAAATAAAAGCCAAAAGTATGTGTTCCAAATCATTTGTTTTGAAGTAAAATGAGAGAGACCTATTCTCTTGAATTCCTCTGAAAGACACTGCAGAAAATTCTTGAAGCTTATGACCCACGAATAGATAAACAAGAATTGGCTTTATTTTCCCTTGAGTAAAATGTATTCCTCATTGTTCTGTTAGTCATATTTCTCATGATCATGGTTAATGACTCTAAATCACCTTCTTTTAATTACCTTTGTTGATACAAACATCAGTGTTGAATAGTCAGGATTATCCATTTATAAAAATTTGGTACATTTAACTAAGGCATTTGACTGCTAACCAGAAGGCTGGTGGTTCAAACCCACCAGGCACTCCTCAGAAGGAAGCTGAGGCAATCTACTTCCGTAGTGATACTACCTCAGAAACCCAAGGAGGGGTTGCTATGAGTCAAATAGACTCGACTTGATGGCAGTGAGTTTGATTTAGTTTTGGTAACACCCAAATGTTGTTGTTGTTGTTGTTATGTGCCGTCGAGTCGGCCCCGACTCATAGCGACCCCTCCTTGGGTTTCCGAGGCAGTATCACTACGGAAGTAGGATTGCCCAACCTTCCTTCCGAGGAGTGGCTGGTGGGTTTGAACCACCAGCCTTCTGGTTAGCAGTCAAGTGCTTTAGCCACTATGCTACCAGAGCTCCTAACACCCAAATGGAGGAATGTAAAATAAATTGCCATAGACTTGCATCATTAATGTGAATTTGACGTTTAATATTCAATATATGTTGCAAAAAAGTTTCCTGAGTCTGGCTTCCTTCTTTTTTGTGCTGCTAAACTGCCAGAGGATGCTTTCAACCCAGTCTTGAAGTCCATTCAGATCCCTGAAAACCTAGCATTTGCTGAATGAGCACAGCTCCATATCAAGGAACTATGCTAGGAGCTACATATAGGTCATCTTCTTCTGACTATATGAGGTGATTTTATCTCCACCATCTTATAAATGAGAGAATTAAGGCCCATAGACTTTAAATTAGTGGCTCCAATTCACACAGCCAGCAAAAGAAAGGATCAGGATCTAAACTTGGGTCAGCCTGACTCCATGATGCATGCTTCACATAAACTCACTGCCTGTTCTTCCCTCCTGTTGGAGCTAGAGCCCAGTTCTCAGTCTCCATGACATATGTTCCAATGCTTCAATGCATTATTCCTTCCTTCTGGTCTATGGTGCTCTCTCTTCTGCTCTTGTATTTCTCGATGTGTCCCTGAAGCATCTTAAGCACAGGAAAGGAAGGATCTGGGCTTGTTTACATATCTGGCACGTGGTAGGTGCTCAGTCATTGTTTTTGTTGGACAAATGTTTTTGTCGGAGTAAATAAAGGAAAAGGCTTGCACTTCAAAGAAAACTCTACCTAACTGAAGGGTACATGAGAACAAAGCATAAATTTTGGGATCATCCAACTTTACACCCCCTCAGTGGAGAGTAAACAAGGCCACTCTTGGTGCTGCATATCTTTGGTCTTATCTGAATTCCACTGAATTCCACAGAGCACCTGGAACAGTAGCTGATGGGATTAGACTGAGGAAAACAATGTCTCTGAAAAATAATTTTCTGCAGTAAACATCCTTAAATATTAGACTAAGGTCTGTGATCAAATAAGATTTGCTAGGCTTTATACTCAAAGCAGGGGTTTCATGACATGAGTGAATGAGCACAGCCTCAACCCATAGTCTTGAACCAAACCACAAACAAGGCTGAAAATTAAGACATTAGTAATAGGTCTCTCACTCAAAAAACCAAATTCACTGCCATCAAGTCAGACCCAACTCATAGCGACCCCTCCTCGGGTTTCCAAGGTGGTATCTCTACAGAAGTAGATTGCCCCATCTTCCTTCTGAGAAGTGGCTGGTGGGTTTGAACTGCTAGCCTTCTGGTTAGCAGTCAAGATGCCTTAGGCACTATGCCACCAGAGCTCATTTGGCTGCTTACCAAAAGGTTAGCAGCTCAAATCTGCTCAGCAGTACTGCAGGAAAAAGGCCTAGAGATCTACTTCTGTAAGATTATAGCCATTAAAGAACCTATGGAGCACAGTTCTACTCTGAAACACATGGGTGCCATGAGATGAAATCCACTTAATAGCATTTTTTGGTTTATAATCTCCTCCTGCCAGGCCAAAGGAACACTAAACTATGTATTTACTGAGTGCCTTTATTCCAAAAAGAGTCAACTGACCTTAGGGTTGGAAGGGACCTCTGAGGTCACTTTGTCCCACCCTCTGAACACATTGCCTTCAAAGAATTTACCCCTCTTTCAGGCAGGTGTGTTGATACTAGACAAATATAAATAGGTCAATGAGAGCCCAATGCACTAAGAAACACACAGCCACCCAGAGGGGGTCAGCTGGAGAAACCACCTGCATGTGTATTAAGTGGGGCCTTCTTTGGATACAAAGTCACACTTTAACATTCAACAACCAAAATGAAGACATGATAGTTTATTACTCATAGATTCTGGAAGGGAGCACGTTGAGGGTCGCACACAGAGTTTTCTCAGGAGGCAAAGAAATGGAGAACCAGAGAAAGAGTATGAACGGACTTGGGCTCAGCCTTTAATAGGGTCTGAGGGGGGAATACACTTTATTTCATGGTGGCATAATCCCTAAAGCATTTGACTGCAAACCAGAAGGCTGACAGTTCAAATCCACCAGCCACTCCTCAGAAGGAAGATTGGGCAATCTACTTCTATAGTGATACCACCCTGGAAACCCAAGGAATGGTCGCTGTGAGTTGGATCTTACTCAACGACAGTGAGTTTGGGGGTTTTTTGGTTTGGTTAGGGACTACTGGCTAATTTAAATCAAGTGCCAGGAGACTGAGGGTCTGGGATATGGATTTGGCAGGGAAGATCCTTATGTGTGTTCTCTTCTCTTCTGAAGAAGGGCAGCCAGCTCCATGCCCCCAGCCAGTCTCAGACTATTTCCTAGTCATGCCCTGAGGGTCAACATGCTTCTGTCTTGTGCAGCCATACGGAAACTCTGCAGCCTGGACAATGGGGACTGTGAGCAGTTCTGCAGCGAAGAGCAAAACTCAGTGGTATGTTCCTGTGCCCTTGGGTATACCCTGGGTGACAACGGCAAGTCCTGCATCTCTACAGGTAAGAAGAGCATTTGCCGCCACACCACAGCAGGGCTACCTGGAGTCTCCAGAGTCAGGGAAGCAAATGCTGGTGCTCAGTGGATGAGTATGACACAGAGCATTCCGGGTGGGACTTAGCAGGTGATGTAGGGCCAGAAGAATGAGAGCACCTGGAAAGTTTGGCTCAGGTAGTTGTGTTCAGACATGAAGACTGAAAGGTTTAGAAATGTTGTTGTGTTGTTGTTTGCCATTGAGTCAGACCCGACTCACAGTGACCCCTCCTTGGGTTTCCGAGGCAGTACCACTACAGAAGTAGATTGCCTGACCTTCCTTCCGAGGAGTGGCTGTTGGGTTTGAACCGCCAGCCTTCTGGTTAGCAGTCAAGTGCCTTAGGCACTATGCTACCAGAACTCCTAGGTTTAGAAATAGACAGGCTCAATAGCTTTGTGAAGTAAGTGAGTTATTTAACTTAAGTTTCCTCATCTGAAAAATGTTAGTTGCCAATCAGTTGAGTTCAACTCATGGCAATACCACGTATGCAGAATAGAAGTGCTTCATAGGGTTTTCAAGGCTGTGACCTTTTAGAAGCAGATTGCCAGGCCTGTCTTCTGAGTCACCTCTGTGTAGGATAGAACTATGAATCTTTCAGCTAGTAGTCAAGTGCTTAACTATTTATACCACCCGAGCTCTGGTGACATAGTGCGTAAGGCATTTGACTGCTAACCAGAAAGCTGGTGGTTCAAACCCACCAGCCACTCCTTGGAAGGAAGGTTGGGCAATCTACCTCCCTAGTAATGCCACCTCGGAAACCCAAGGAGGGCTCACTATAAATCGGATCTGACTCAACGGCAGTGAGTTTTGCTCATCTGAAAAATGAGAATCATATTACCTAATTCCTTGGGTAAGTTTGGAGATATTTTATGGAAAGCACTTTTTTTACATAGTGCCTGGTACATAGTAAACTCTACATAACTAAACAAACGATTGTGATGATCATTTCCCAATGCAAAGGGCAACTGAAATGTCCTGTTCCCTTATGGAACAGTGGAGAACATAGGAAGTCTTGAAGTCATGACCTACTGGTTGGTGGTTCAAGTCTACCCAGAGGCTCCTCAGAAGAAAGACCTAGTGACCTACTTCCAAAAAACCAGCCAAAGCCATTACAAGCTCTGTGGAGCACAATTCAACTCTGACACACAGGTAGATAAATAAATGCACATTTGATGATCAAGTGGAGTGAACAAGCTAGAGGTCTGTAAACACAGAGGGGAGTGCAGGGAGAATGGGAAGAGAGGAGTGGACCAAGAACCAGAAGAATATCCATAACTGATTTCAATTTATTTTGTCCCATTGTGAATTAAATTTATTTTCCTTTGCTTTAATAAAAGCCAGACTCTGATAAATCTGGCCTATAGTCTCACAGAGGACGAAAAATGAACCAGGGAACTGAGCAACTGTGCCACTAGGTCTGTAGAAGTGGATGTGTTTCCTGTCTCTAGATAACGATAAGTTACTAAACTGATCTTATCTAACAAACTAGATCCTCCTAGTTGGTCCCTCAGGGACCAGCACAGGCCAAAGAATTTGAGAGGTCAATCCTTCTGCTTAATTTAATCTACTTCTTGATCCTGAAAGTGATCCTAGCTTATGAATTGTTGTGTGGAAAATGAATTTCCTCTGTAAACTTTCACCAAAATCACAATTTAAAAAAAAAAAAAAAAAAGTGATCCTAGCTTGCTACTCAAAGTGTGCTCCCCAATTAACTGTTTTGGCATCACCTGGGAGCATGTTATTGCTGTTGTAGTCAGGTGCTGACAGATGATTCCAATTCATAGTGACCCCCTGTGACAGAGTAGAACTGCCCCATACAGTTTCCTGTGCTATTGTCTTTATGGGAGCAGATCACCAGGTCTTTCTCCCATGGAGCCACAGGGTGGGTTCCAATTGCCAACCTCTTGGTTAGCAGCCAAGTGTTAATTGTTCCACCAGCAGGGCTCCTTGAGAGCTTGTTAGAAATGCAGATCCCAGGCCCCAACCCCAGACCTGCTGAATCAGTCTCTACATTTTAAAAGAGCTGCAGGTGATTTGTGAGCATATTAAAATTTAAGAAGTGTCTCTCTGTAGTTCATAACATAATTTTCTCCTTGATGGGCTTTGTTTTATTCAGAGACTTTATTACTTCTAAGCAATTCTGTTACTATTTCTCTCATCATATGTTTTCTTCAAGACCATTTAAAATGTTTTCTTTGAAAAGATAGAACCAAAGCCCATTACTGTTGTGTCAATTCCGACTCATAGCAACCCTATAGGGCAGAGTAGAAATGCTCCACAGTTTCCCAGACTGTAGTCTTCACAGAAGCGGACTGCCTCATCCTTCTCCCTTGGAACAGCCAGTGGGTTCAAACCAACTTCATGGTTATTAGCTGACATTTTGGTTATTAGCTGAGCACTTGACCACTGCACCATGATGGGATCCTTGAAAAGATAAATAATCCCCACAAAATTTCTTTTTAAACTGGCTCCAAATATAACATTCAAGTGTAATTTCAATTATGTAGCATTAAATCTCTCAACAAATGAAAGACAATGTGATTTACATTTGTATTGATAACAAAACCTTAAGCTTAAATTGATTTAAAAACACTTTAATTAGTCATTTCTTGATATACATGTGCAATATTTTAAATTCCAGAACTAATCACAAATCTATTTAAAATAAAGTTTGATGTTGGGAAACAAAATCAGAACAACTTCCTAGTGCAAAAAGTTATGTTCTAAATCATGAGTGAGTTAATTAAGCATTTCAAAGGGCAGTGATTACAAATATTAACTTCCTCTGATGTCCACAGAACTAACAAACCCTAAGGTCAAGAGTAAGGAGCTCTAGTGGCACAGTGCCTAAGGCATTTGACTGCTAACCAGAAGGTTGAAGGCTCAAACCCCCCAGCCACTCCATGAAATGAAGACGGGACAATCTACTTCCTTAAAGATTTGCCACCTCAGAAACCCGATAGGAGTCACTATGGGACAGAATCAACTCGATGACAGTGGGTTAGTAGTAGGGTCAAGAGTGCTTATCTCAGGCCAACAAACTAACCAGAATTCTACTGAAAGGAAAGGAATTATTTTCAGGTTGTGGATATACACAAAGACAAAACTGAGTTGTACTTATCTGATATTAGACAAGCACAAGACAACAGAGAGCAGCCACTTCTAATCTATTTTCTTGTCAACTGTTTCCCACGGTTTCTCCTCATTTCCAGCCTTTCCCACCCCTCTCCTTTCCTCATCTCACTTCTCTGCCCACTGTCTTCCTTCCTCTCATCTTCTCTTTGCTTCCCACTCTTCTTCCTCTGCCCTGTTTTGCCCTCTGTTCTCTGCCCTGCTTCCTCCCTAAGTGGTGAAAGTATAGGGAAGAAGCTTTACTGAGTATCTCTCCTGCACTTGATGCTTTTAAGGATGACATCCTGGTGGCACAAAAGGTTAAGTGCTGAACTAGTAGCCGAAAGGTTGGGGCTCAAGCCCATCCAAAGGCTCCTATGAAAGACAGGCCTGGTGATCTGCTTCTGAAAGGTCAGCCTTGGAAATCCCGTGGAGCAGTTCTACTCTGCACCCATGAGGTCACCATGAGTCGGAATCAACGAGACAGCAAACAACAGTGTATTTTTAGCCATATCATACTGCTCTGTCTTTTGGCTCAGGTTGTTTGTGTAGTATTTGCTTCTGTCTGGAATCCTTTCCCTGACCTTAAGACTTCATTAGGAAATTTTTCAAACATATAGTAAATTCAAAAGAATTTTACAGTGAACACATATTACCCACCACTTGGATTCTATTATTAACACTTTCTTATACTTTGAAGTTCCTGGGTGGTGCAAATGATTAATACACTTGACTACTAACAGAAAGATTGGAGGTTCAAGTCCACTCAAAGGACTCTCAGAAGAAAGGCCTGCTAATCTACTTCCAGAAGGTCACAACCATTGAAAACCCCATGGAGCACAGTGCTACTCTGACACACGTGAGGTCACCATAAGTTGAAATCAACTTGATGGCAGCTGGATTGGTATACTTGCTTTGTCACCTTATCGATCTTCTAGCTGTTCCTCTATCCACCCATCATTCCATCTAATTTATGTGTGCATTCCAAAATGACTAGCAGAAGTTTTGTGCACTTTACCTTCAACACTTCAATAAACCTACTATGAACTAACCAAAATAATAAAAAAAAAAGGAACCAAACTCCCTGCTGTCGAATAGGATCCAACTCATAGCAACCTCTCCTTGGGTTTCCAAGGTGATATCTCTACAGAAGTAGATTGTCCAATCTTCCTTCCGAGGAGTGGCTGGTGGGTTTGAACTGCCAGCCTTCTGGTTAGCAGTCAAATGCCTTAGGCACTGTGCCACCAGAGCTCCCAAACTAGTGTTCAATATTTGTTTACAGTGTTTTCATTTGAGGTAAAATTAGCATACAAGAAAATGCACAGATCTGATATGTATATTTGCAGTTTTAGGAGTTGCATTCACTTATGCAACCCAACCCCCATCAAGATATACATTATCCTCATCCCAGAACAATCCTGTATGCCTCTTCCCAGCTACCTAGAACACTCTTGTCCTCACTCTTTATCACCCCCATTTTTTATTCATTTTATTTACTTATTTTTAAATTTTATTGTGCTTTGGATGCAAACTTACAAAGCAAGTTTGTTTTACATTCAATAATTCATGCACATTAGATTTCACACCCTGATTACCATCCCCCACCATAACAAACTCTCCTCCTCTCCTATCCCTGTGACTACCCTTCCTATTAACTATGCACTCCTGTGTGTCCAGCTTTCCCTCTGTGTAAATGCTGCCCCTGTGGTGTCTCATGGCTGATTGCTCTAAAGGGTGCATCTCCCTAGGGTATATCACCCCCATTTTTTAGATGAGAAAACTGAGATTCAGAACTATGAATTATTATGACCACAGTCTCAAGGGACAGCTAACTCCATCGGCATAACTTGGTTTAGAAAAAGACAGTGTTCTACATTCTACTTTGGTGAGTAGCAACTGTAGTCTTAAAAGCTTGTGAGTGGCCATCTAAGGTATAACTATTGATCTCTCCTTATCCAGAGCAAAGAAGAGTGAAGAAAATCAAAGACACATGGAAACATTAGTCTATAGGACTAATGAACCATGCAAACCTCAGCCTCCATGATCCTGAGACCAGAAGAACTATACGGTGCTGAGCTGGTACTTCTGACTGCTCTGAAAGGGATCACAATAGGAGATCCTGGATAGATGGGAGAAAAATGTGGAACAATACTGAAAATCATTAAAAAAAAGGACCAGGCTTACTGGTCGGATAGAGACTGGTGGAATCCCTGAGACTGTGGCCCTTAGTCACCCTTCAAGCCTGGAACTGAACTCACCTGCATGGCTTACTTTTCAGTCAAGCAATAGATAGGCCGGTAAGGTGAACAGTAACACTAGAGAGGTATGCGCTCCTTAGAACAATCGGCCATACGAGATCAAAAGAACAACTTTTGCCCAGGGATACAGCTCAGAAGGCAGGAAGGGATAGGAAAGAATGACAAATGCAAACAGGAAACACAGTGAAGAAGTAGCAAGAGTGCTGTTACATTGTGGGTATTGCAATTAATGTCATGAAACAAACTGTGATAAATCATTGAATGGAAAACCAATTTGCTCTGTAACTTTCACTCAAATCATAATAACAAGTTAAAAATAAATAAATAAAAGGAACTATGAACTAGGCTGCCCAAATCTGCACTCCTATCAATAAGGCTCTGGTAGCGTAGTGCCTAAGGCACTTTACTGCTAACCAGAAGGCTGGCGGTTCAAATCCAACAGCCACTCCTCAGAAAGAAGGTTAGACAATCTACTTCCATAGTGACAGGAAAGAAACCCAAGGAGAGGTCGATATGAGTTGGGTCCGACTCGACAGCAATAACAACAACATTAATAAGGCAGTGCCGGACTTTCCTCCAAGAGCTTTCTGACTCCAGAGCTATGCTTGTTCTGCTACAGAGTGAATGATTTGTGTGCTTTAGGGAGGTTTTCACATTACTTAAAGTTTGGGGGCTGTTCTTTTTCTTTTAGGGCCTTTTCCCTGTGGAAAATCTACCCAGGGACGAAGTAAAAGGTCACTGGCACAGGCTGACAACAGTGGAAGTCCCCCAGCAAACTCCATACTGAAGCAGTATGATGATGGTGACTTTACTCCTACTGAAAATCCTTCTGACCTGCTGAACTTAAATCAGACATATCCTGAAGAGGATGCCAGTGACCTTGTGCGGATAGTGGGTGGAAGGGATTGCAAAGAAGGAGAGTGTCCTTGGCAGGTAAATATGGTCCAGTCTTTTCTGTGATTTAGCATCTCCAAGTCAGGCCTTAATTGAATCACTATTAGTCCCCACCAAAATGAACAAACACACGTATTTGGCATAACAATTAAGCACTCAATTACTGGCCAGATGGTTGGGGGTTCTAATCCACCCAGAGGTGCCTCAGAAGACAGGCCTAGAGATCTGCTTCCAAAAGGTCACAGCCTTAAAAATCCTACAGAGCAGTTCTACTCTGCACACATGAGGTCGTCATGGGTTGGAATTGACTTGACAACAACTAACAACAACAGGACAGAGTCAGGCTTGGTACAAAGGAGAGACACCAGGTTCTAACCCTTTGGGAATCAACAATCTAAGGCACACATGTTCACTAGGAAGGAGGTGGCCTGAGCCAGTCTCAAGCACACCTGGGTTTCCCTTCTTTCCTCACTGGTATGGCCTCTGGGGCCTTTAAGCTCTGGGTGTTGAAGAGTGATGAGACAGGGTAAGGGAGAGAAGAAATGGCAGGAGTCTTAGCAATTTTCCCCTCCCCACAGTACCACTCCTTTCCAATCAAACATTTTCATTGAACACCTTCTGTGTGCCCAGGATTATAGGATGTTCTGTGAAGGTATAAAAAGAAAAAAAAAAAACATAGCTCCTAACCTCAGATGTCTTAAAACCTCTGCCTACAGTATAAGGAGATCTGATTAAAAAGCATATATCACAAAATAGTTCAAACTGCAAATAATGATCAGCAACGTATAGGGAGATGTTTCCATCAGGTGTAGGTATGGGTCTCTGTATGTTCTTCCGTGTGACTGTGAAGGAGCATTCTGGGAAGAAGGAATGCATAAACAAAGGCATGAGGTGGGATTTTCATCAGACAATATTCTCATTGAGTTATTGTGACTTAGTATTCTTGTTTTCCTGGTTCAAGCATTTGGCAATTTGCCTTACTTCTATCTTTAGGAAGAGTTAATATCCAGTTCTTAGAAAGATTGGCTTTCCCCTCACTAACCATCCAAATTGGGTTTTGAGTTCAGAGTTTATGTTAAGAAAAAATATATATTACTTCATTTTAGTCATGAAGGTCTTTAAGAATTCTTTTGGAACTTGATCCTATTGTTTCATTGACCTACACATATCCCCAGATGATAAATATTACTTAGAAGATGCCACATTCTCTAGAGAAAGGGGAATCAAAAAATGCTTTGTCTTCTGATTTGCGTGTCTAGCTCCTTGAAGGCAATAAATGGAAAATAAGAAAATTCTCTTTGGTGCCTCTCATCTGCCCCATCAATATTCTTTCTCTTGTGGAATGTTCCTCACTCTCAAGTTTTTTCAGTTAAGCTTTTTCAGGTAGAAAATCACTTTCAAGGATTCCAAAAAAAATTAACCTTTATTGGTGACATTCATGCACCATGGAAGATAGGTCTGAATAGTTAAATCATTCCAGAGACCACGAAGTCACACCAGCTTAAGCAAATGTTTTTGCCAAAGACCGGCATCTGCCAAGTCTGGATTATAAATCATAGGCATATACAAATAAAGGTGATTACCATAGTGGAAAAAAATTTTTTCCAAAACATTTGAAAAATGTGCATAGCAGTTCAAAGATATAGTGACAGACTCAGAAGAAATAAAAGAAATCACAGTCCAACTAAGTGTCTAGTCCAGGTGGAGAGAGACATAGGTAAAACATGAGAAAACCTTACTCAAGTGCCCTAGGACTTGGCACTTAGTAGTACCTCAATAAATATTTGTTGAAGAAATAAGTCAGTCAATTAGTTGGTCCATAAAGCAAAGGCAAGGCAGTATGATGGAGCCAGCTAAACCTATGCTGTAGAGATTCAAGGAGTAATTGAGGGGTTGGAGTTGGAGAAAGTTCCATGGCAGTAAATTATGACTGGTTCTTGAAGAAAGTGTAGCGGTTGGATTAGCAAGAGACTGCAGGTGGGAGCAGTGAATGGGATATACAGGAATGGGCAAGGTGGTTGTAAGATCAGGAAATGATCTGCTCTGCTGGGACTATGTTGGTGAGCAACGAGGGAAGAATTAGTTAGGTGGACAAAGTGGAATGATTTGGTTTGGGCCTTGTGTTCCAATATGAGGGAGCTCTGGTAGCGTAGTGCCTAAGGCACTTGACTGCTAACCAGAAGGCTGGTGGTTCAAAGCCACCCGCCACTCCTCGGAAGGAAGATGGGGCAATCTACTTCTGTAGTGATACTGCCTCAGAAACCCAAGGAGGAGTCACTATGAGTCAGGTCTGACTCAATGGCACATAGCAACAACAACAACATTCCAATATGAAGAGTTGGGATTTTATTCCAGAGGCCAGAGGAAGCACTACAAATTCTCAAGTAGGGGAAAGGACAACAGAGGGCAGGGTAGAGGGCAAGGAAAAATCTCACTGATGGCAGACCAGCTGATAGGTACAGAGGATGCTCCAACCAAGGTAGGAAGTGAGGAGACCATTGTGAGGCAGGAGAAATGAAAGGAAGTCTTGAATTGTGGAGACTATAAGGGAGTATGGGAGTTCTGGTAGCGTAGTGCCAAAGGCATTTGACTGCTAACCAGCAGGCTGATGGTTCAAACCCACAAGCCACTCCTCAGAAGGAAGATGGGGCAATCTACTTCTGTAGTGATACTGCCTCGGAAACGCAAGGAGGGGTCACTATGAGTAGGATCTGACCTGACGGCAAAGAGAGTTTTTTTGAGAGTAGGGAGTATACATGAAAAGCATTTTAGATATAAAAGCTCTCTTTTAGGTTTCTCTTCTCAGAAAGTCAAACATAACCTGGTCTGCTTTGGCAAGCTAAACTGTTCCCAAGCTTTCACTTGGCTTTGCACATACAAGCCTCGGATTACCAACTTTCCTGTTGTAGGCTTTACTCGTAAATGAGGAAAATGAAGGGTTTTGTGGAGGCACCATTCTGAACGAGTACTATATCCTCACCGCAGCTCACTGTCTCCATCAAGCCAAAAGATTCAAGGTGAGAGTAGGTAAGTGCTCCTCAACACTCTTTTCGGGTACCATGGAAATGGGTGGTCTTTTATTTTTAGAGACTGCTAGAACTTACAAATAAGGAGCCTAGTAATGCAATGATTAAGTGCTCAACTGCTAACTGAAAGGTTGTCAGTGAGACCCCACCCAGTGGTTCCCCAGGAGAAAGCCCTGGCTGTCTATGTCCATGAAGATTATAGCCTAGAAAACCATGTGGGGCAGTTCTACTCTGTCACATAGGGTCGCTATGAGTAAAAATTAGCTCAATGGCATCTAACAACAATAACAGAAGTAGCAAAATGTTTTGGCAACACTGAAATACTAAAATCTGGGGTGGGGGTGGGAGGTTCATGGAGAAGAAGAAGAGAAAGAAGATGAACAGGAGGAGAAGGCAGCTTCCTTGAGCTAGCCCACTCCCTTCCCCCTGTACAGTCCTTCTCTTGCAGGTCCTCATGTCTCTGTATGCAACGTGATCCTCCTCCAACTTTGTCTCAGGTGTCCTTTCCTTGGAGAAACCTTCCAGACCTCCCTGACTAGGCTAAATCCCTCTCTTAAGCAGTGTCTGAGCCCCAAGTTTCTCCATCTCTTATATTTATTTATGGGATTATTTCATTATGTCTGTCGTTCTCTACCAGACTCCAAAGCAATGCCATTCAATAAAAAATATAATGGAAGGCACAAACGTGAGCCACATATGTAATTTTAAATTTTCTGATAGACATATTAAAATACTACCAAAAAATAAGGTGAAATGAATTTATCTTATTTAACCCAATATAAAGAGCTCTGGTGGTGCTGTGATAAGGCATTGGACTGCTAACCAAAAGGTCAGCAGTTCAAACCCATCAGCTGCTCCACAGAAGAAAGATGAGGCAGTCTGCCTCCATAAAGATTTACAGCCTTGGAAATCCTGTGGGGGCCACTCTGAGTCAGAATCAACTCGATGGTAGTGAGTTTGGTTTTTTCTTTTTGGGAACCCAATGTACACAAAATATTATCATTTCAATATGTAATCAAAGTTTTGAAGTATGAATGAGATGCTTTGCATTCTTCTTTGCATACTAAGTTTTGAAATTTCATAGTCAGCATATATCAGCTTAGACTAGCCACATTTTAAGTGCTCATTTGCCACATGGCTGGTGGAGGTATAGAATATAAGACCTCTGAGGGCAAGGACCACATAGGTTTTAGCTCCCTGACACGTAGTACAGTGCCTTGGACACAATACATTTTTGGAAAGTTTTTGTTGAAGGAATGAATGAATAGAAAGTATCTGAAGTGTTAAATATCTATACAAAATTGTTAATAAGGTATGCTCTTGGATAGTAGTTTTAAAGGTCATTTTTATTTGCTTCTTTATGTTTTCCCTATTTTCCAAATTTTCTACAGTGACTATGTACCAGTTTTTAATCAGATTAGTAAAATTAAATAACTTTTTAAAAAAGTAACCAAAGTTTAAATTAAAAGGAAAAAAAGTTCCTGTCAAGTTGCTTCTGACTCATATTGACCCCATGGGACTAGAACTCGGCTCCCTAGGATTTTTAGTGGCTGAGTTTTGGGAAGTAGATTGTCAGGACTTTCTCCTGAGGCACCTCTGGGTGGACTCCAACCATCAGTCTCTTGGTTGGCAGCTGGGCATTTTATTCGTCTACACTACCCAGGGTGTCAGCAAATCCCACGGCACAAACTGAACTAAATATCATTATGCTCTTGATTCTATCGCAGGTGATCGGAACACTGAAAAGGAAGAGGGCAATGAAATGTCCCATGAAGTGGAAATGATAGTAAAACACAACAGATTTGTTAGAGAAACGTATGACTTTGACATCGCCGTCATAAAATTGAAGACACCCATCACATTCCGGATGAATGTGGCCCCTGCCTGCCTACCGGAGAAGGACTGGGCCGAGTCAACGCTAATGACTCAGAAAACAGGGATTGTTAGTGGGTTTGGACGTACCCACGAGAAGGGCCGCCCATCTACCACCCTCAAAATGCTGGAAGTACCCTATGTGGACCGAAACACATGCAAGCTCTCAAGTAGTTTTTCAATCACCCCAAACATGTTCTGTGCTGGCTATGACTCAAAACCTGAAGACGCCTGTCAGGGAGACAGTGGGGGTCCCCACGTCACTCGATTCAAAGACACCTATTTTGTCACTGGGATTGTCAGCTGGGGAGAAGGATGTGCCAGGAAAGGAAAATATGGAGTCTATACCAAAGTCACCTCCTTCCTCAAGTGGATCAATAAGTCAATGAAAGCCAAGATTGCAGTTGAGCCACAGACTACATCCCCTTGATCTCAGTGGCCTTGTATGTGGATTCTGTTCATTGCAGTCAGGGCAGATCATTCTCAATAAAGTAATACCACTCAAAAGACCCAATGGAAGCTGGCTGGCATTTTCCTTTACTTTGTTTTTAATACTCACCCCTTTGAACAGGTGGAAAACCTTGAATAGGTTTTCCTATCTGTAATTATTTAAAAAAAAAAAAAAAAGTTGCTGTCAAGTCAACTTCAACTTACAGCAACCCCATGTGTTGCTACAACCCTGATTAGGGTTTTCAGTGGCTCTGATCCTTCAGAAGCAGGTCTCCTGGACATTCTTCTGAGGCAACTTTGGTTGAATTCAAACCACTAATCTTTCAGTTAGTTGTGGAGCACTCAACCGTTTGTGTCACCTGATCAATTATTTATTCTAATTTTTATCTTGCTCTACTAAAGTGGAAAAGGGAGGAAATTTTAATTTGTAACCCTAATTCTGCCTTCCCCTAGATTGCTTGTTAAATTGCTTCTGGAAATTGTTTATTTTAATAGGACAAGAGCCTAGGCTCTCCCAGATGACTTCACTGCTGAAAACTATCACAGGCATTTGATTAGGGCCTTTCTTTGTTCACAGATCATTTACTTTTTTTTTTTTTTTTAATTGATCCAAACTGCGCAACCTTAGCTAGCCATACTTGTAACACTTGAGAAAATAATGACCAAGGTTGTAATAAGCACAGATATAAGGCAAGGGTGGAATCAGGACCAGCCATGATTGGGAGACGTCTGCAGCCCTTGTGCAGCATTTGTTGGGGTCAAGGGTTTCCCATAGTCTCCCTGTCACTCTCCCATCTGGCCTGGATTTTCCTCATTCATCTCTCCTATGAACTAGACGATAGTAGAAATGCCTCTTTCAGGTGACTATTATAAAATGCAGGTTTCCTGTTAAGAAAAGGTCCAGAAAACTTCTCACCAGCATGATATTTTTTAATTGACTTAAACAAGTGGTTGTGCATCCTGGCTTCACATTAGTATTGCCTAACCCACAAGCCACTCCTTGGAAAGAAGATGAGGCAATCTACTTCCGTAGTGATAACTGCCGCGGAAACCCAAGGAGCGGTCGCTATGAGTCAGGTCTGACTCAATGGCACATAGCAACAACAACAACAAGACACTTTTTTAAAACTACCAATGCTCAGGCCCCATGCCCTGAAATTCAGGCTGATTTGTTTTTCTTAAAAGCTCCACAGGGCAGACTATTGTGCACACTCAAGATACTTGAGTTTTTTTCCTACACATCCAAGTTAAATGCTCATTGGTTAGCAACTGTGGCCCTCAGGCACAGTGGTTCTCAGCTCTGGCTGCATATCACAGTCATCTGGCCACAGCCCACAACATGTAAATTGGAATCTCTGGAGGAGTGGCCAGGCATCAGTAGTTTTTCAAACTTCTCAGGTGATTCTGGTGTCAGCCAGAATTGAAGGTAGAAAATGAAGGGTAGTGTCTGCCAAGGAAAGGAACCCTGGTGGAGCAGTGGTTAAAGCATTTGACTGCTAACCAGAAGGTTGGCAGTTTAAACCCTCCAGTGGCTCCACGGGAGAAAGATGAGGCAGTCAGTCTGCTTCTGTAAAGATTTACAGCCTTGGAAACCCTATGGGGCAGTTCTCTTCTGTCCTATAGGATTGCTGTGAGTAGGAATCAACTCGATGGGAGTGGGTTTGGTTCAGTGGGGTGTGCCAAGGAAACCTGGTGGCACAATTGTTAAGTGCTCTGCTGTTAACCAAAAGGTTTTCAGCTTGAACCCACTCAGTGACTCCATAGAGAAAGACCTGGTGATATGCTCCCATAAAGATGACAGCCTAGGAATCTAGGGGCAGTTCTACTCTGTCACATGGGGTCACTATCAGTTGCAGTTGACTTGATGGCACCTAACAATATCAACAGTGTGTGTCAGAGAGAGATTCCCATGAGGGTCATTCTCTTCTTTCTACTATAAAAGGAAAAAACAAACCAGCTGCTGTCCAGCCAATTCCAACTCATGAAGACACCGTCTGTGTCAGAGTAGAATGGTGCTCCACAAGGTTTTCAATGGCTGTTGTTCCAGAAACAGACTGCCAAGCTTTTCTTCCAAGGTGCTACCAAGTGGACTTGAACTTCCAGTCTTTCCATTAGCAGCTGAGTATTAGCCACTTGCACCTCCCATGGACTCTTCTTTCCTCTACTAAAAAGAAAAGAAAAAAAAAGTTGCAGTTGAGTAGATTCTGACTCAAGTCAGATATCATAAATAGTTAAGCATTTCACTACTAACCAAAAAGTTAGTGGTTCAAACTTATCCAGGGGCACCTCAGAAAAAAGGCTTGTTGATTGGCTTCTGCAAGGTCACAGCCTTAAAAACAGAATGGAGCAGTTTTACTCTGCAATGCATGGAATCACTATGAGGAGTCTTTCCTGTACAATTACACTCAAATACATTACTTCAAAAATGCCATTCCTTTGTCATGGATTCAAAAAAGTATCTATAGACTCTAAAGGTAAAATGGTCATGAATATCAAATGTACCTTTAGAAAATAGGAGCAGTTACCTTAAACAGGATCTACCAATGTTTTCCTCTACAGTTTGCATTTTGCACAACTTGGCTTAAGCAAAGTTTAAAAGTTCTAGTACAAAAAAAAAAAAAAAAAAAAAAATCCCAAAACAGTAGCTAGTTGGACAAAGCCTTCTGTAAACAAGAAGATACTGCAAGGTTAAAACAAATCAATGCCAAAAAAAAAAAAAAAAATCCATTTCCCAGAAAGGATATGAACCAATCATTATTCTCAGAGTCCCCCATCTCCATGCTCACTTTTAGAGAAAGTTGGACAGAGTTTTAAAATGTGGTAACGTTTTCTCTGCTTGTTGGCTTCGATGCCTTCACAGAATCAGCAGACTGTAGTGTTCATTCCAGAGATGCTTCCTAGAGAAAAGTTTTCCGACCTAGGAGACTGCCATATTTTGTCAGCATGAGGGTTTTCTGGGATGCAAAATGGTCTTTATGGCAAACATCCAGGCACAGAGCAAACTTCTAAACTTGGATCTAGATCTTGTTTCTAGAGAACAAAGATTGTTTGGAGTTCCAGAGTTAAACTCTGTAAAAACATTTACAAATAAAAAAATAAATCTGATTGTCATTATTTGGTATCTTTCATTTTGGTCACTACTACTAGATGGCCAAATGCTCATCCACCTTTTAACCTGTTGCCATTGAGTTAATTCTAACTCATAGCAACTCTGTAGGACAGAGTAGAATGCACCCATAGAGTATCCAAGGCTGTGATCTTTATAGAAGTAGACTACCACACCTTTCACCCATGAAACACTGATAGGTGCAAATAGCTGACCTTTTGAGTAGCAGGTGAGTGCTTAACCACTGCACAACCAGAGTTCCTCATCCATCTTTTAGAGATCAAAAATAAACTGAGACAGAGCAGAAAGAAGGGAAGGGGAATCTTCTTTTTCTGGATGGGTGGCTAACAATAGTCTATTTTCATCCCTACCTAGAAAATAAAATTCAATTCAATAGGGTTCTGAAGAAAATAAGGGAAACAAGATGGCAGTGAAAAGAGCACTAGTCTTGGACTAAGATAAACCAAACCAAACACACAGCCATCGAGTTGGATCCAACTCATAGTGACACCTCCTTGGGTTTCTGAGGCAGTATCACTATGGAAGTGGATTGCCCAACCTTCCTGCTGAGGAGTGACTGGTGGGTTTGAACTGCCAGCCTTCTGGTTAGCAGTCAAATGCCTTAGGCACTATGCCACCAGAACTCCTTGGACTAAGAAAGATGGGGTTAAAATCCCAGCTCTGTTCATTATTGTGTGACCTTGAGTAATTTACCTCCCTCTCTGAGAATCAGTTTCTTGACTAAAAATGGAGCTAATTAAACCCACTTCCTATATATATTAATTCAAAAAATGAATTAAGGTTTACATGATGAAGGGACTATTCAGTTATCTCATTACCACCAGAATTTCTCTTAAAGAGGAACTATCTTTGTTTAGGCAAATAATCTCAGGAGTTGCTCATATGTTGCTTATCGGTCCAGTTGTGAGGATTTTTGTTTTCCTTATATTGAAATGTAATCTATACCAAAGACTATAGTCTTTGATCTTCACCAGTAAGTCCTTCAAGTCCTATTCACTTTCCAAAAGCAAGGTTGTGTCATCTGCATACCTCAGGTTGTTAATGAGTCTTCCTCCAATCCTGATGTTCTTCTTCATATAGTCCAGCTTCTCGGGTTATGTTTTTCTCAGCATATAGATTGATAACTATGGTGAAAGGATACCTTGATGTACTGATCTGAAACCATGCAATATCCCCTTGTTCTGTTCCAATTGCCTCTTGATCTATGCACAGATTCTCGTGAGCACAATTAAGTGTTCTGGAATTCCCATTCCTGACAATGTTGCCCTTAATTTGTTACGATTCACATAGTTGAATGCCTTTGCATACTTAATAAAACACAGGTAAACATCTTTCTGGTATTCTCTATTTTTAGCCAAGATCCATCTAACATCAAATCAGCAGCAATATCCCTCATTCCACATTCTTTTCTGAATCTGACTTGATTTTCTGGCATTTCCTCGTTGATGTACTGCTGCAACCATTTTTGAATTATCTTCAGAAAAATTTTACTTGCATATGATATTAATGATACCTTTTGATAATTTCCACATTCTGTTGTATCACCTTTCTTTGGAATGGGCACAAATATGTATCTATTTCAGTCAGTTGGCCAGGTAGCTGTCTTCCAAATTTCTTGGCTAGAAGAGTCAGTGCTTCCAGTATTGCATCCATTTATTGAAGCATCTCCATTGGTATTTTGTCAATTCCTTCTTGTTGTTGTTGTTGTTGTTGTTGTTATGTGCCATCAAGTCGGACCCAACTCGTAGTGACCCCTCCTTGGGTTTCCAAGGCAGTATCACTGTGGAAGTAGATTTCCCCATCTTCCTTCCAAGGACTGGGTTTGAACCACCAACCTTCTGGTTAGCAGTCAA